AACGCATCAATTAAAACGTTTCGTTTGCTGTTGATGCTTCTACTGTTTAAAAATTGTGTATTAGTGTGCAAGTGAAAAGTATACACTCTATGATGTTAATTGAATATATTCACCGATACAATTGCTAATACCGTCTCCAACTCTCTTGTTGATTAAGTGGCAGAGCATTTACTTGCAGAAATTTACCAAGATATATGCTCGATTAGCTTTTCTTGAAGTGGTCATATATTCCTCCGGTTCACGAAAATCCACTGTTTCACTATTAACTATTGTATAAAAGGTAGAAATTAGAAAAATAAAAGTGAGTACTCTTGTAAATGAAAATATTTAGCTAGATAACGTCTTATAGTGGCTGCAAATGTCGTGAGACGTTGTTTTGACTAAACTGAGTAAAAAATTAACCTTGCAGCATCCAATAAAGTGTTCTCCAACAATGTCCTGCAAAATAAGGGTTCGTCGTGACTGTTATATATAAAATTATGCCAAGAGAAACACTTGTGTTAGCCTTATCATAGACATACATTATTAGTTTATGTGAAAACACATGGAGCTCATATAGGAACACCCTACCTGCGGATGGGCCGCTGTAGAGAAACGAACTATGTAGTCATCATCCTTATAGTCTAAGAACTTTGCACATTTCCCTGGATCAGAAATGCCGATTTTCGTCAAAAATATCGATTCTGAGAAAAGAACATGGTTGGGTAGCCTGAAGTGTTTACTTTGTAATGGTATAATTTTTGTGTCGATAGAATAGATGTTTTTTTTTCTCATAAATAACTAACATCACTCATTTCAGTCGATCCTTCATACGACGAACTTTTTCTTCAACATCAACAATCGTTTGATCATTTTTGGGTAAATATGAACTGTACACTTTCAATGCTTCTGAGTAATGCTCTAATGCCAGCTGATACTCTTCCAGTACTTCATACTCAAGACCAAGGCAATAATAAGCGTTCCCCACATCTGGATGTGTGTTTGGGAGAGCACTTTGTCGAATGAAGAGAGCCAACTTGAAGTGCTCTAATGCTGACTGATACTCTCCCAGTGCTTCATATACACAACCGATGTTATAATAAGTGTTCCCCACATCTGAATGTGTGTTTGGCAGAGCACTTTGTCGAATGGAGAGAGCCAGCTTGAAATTTTCTATTGCTCTGTTGTACTCATTCATTCTGAGATATGAAAGACCAAGGTTGTTGTAACTCAGACCCAACTGAGCATGGTTTGATGGAAAACATTTCAGATATGATTTCATTCACCTATTACATGTCATTCAAAATCTGTTCAGCCTTCTTCCTTCATCCGCTAGCAAAAATTTATGACACTTATTCACATAAATGTCTCGTTACACTGCGTCTTAGAGAAAACTAAAAGTAGATTCATTTCAGTAGATTCAGTAGAAATTCATTTGTTCGAAAGCGCATTTTTCTCTTCGAGAGGTGCAGAATCTACCCGTGTGCGTATACGGACTTATGTGAAGAAGTTTTGAAACCTGTGGAAATTTCTGGAAAGTTTTCCAACGGAAAAATGTGGGATTTTTCCGCATAAGAAGATTTAAGAAATTACCACCGTGGAAATACTTGGAAAATTCTTTTGGACTACTTTAGAGAAAAGCTTGTTGCTTGATATAGAGCTCACTGTACACTGCCATTTTATCTACATATTTTCAGTTTTGCAAAACTTTTACCGTTCCTCGAAAATTTTCAAATTTAAGGATGGATTCTGCACCTCAGGTTCATACTTAGATCTTTGACATTGCTCTTTTCCACAGAACCAATCCGGGCACCAAACCCAAAATGTATAATAGAATAACACTGTCTTCGATTCAAAACCTTAAGTTTTGCCCACAGTATGTCTGCAAGACTGTACCTCCCACAGTATGTCTGCAAGACTGTACCTCCCACAGTATGTCTGCAAGACTGTACCTCGAGCAGAGAATTTATCCATAAAATATTTTCTTAATCAAGTGGTTCCTTCTTTGGTAGGTAGTTTATGCATCTGACGACTAACTAAAATATGAGCCAAGCCAAATTGATAATGTAATAAAGTCACAGAAATCAACCATATTTGATATCGTTTGCATGTAGTATCCGTTGTATACGAGCTTTTTTGGATTCTGACTGCATTACTTAACAATCGACTAATTGCAGAGGAGTCTCAAAACTCCACAAAATAAAGATAGATGAATCACTAAAATCTAACCCCTTTGGTATCTATGTCGAACTTCAATTTCTGCCATCTGCTTTTAACAAGGAACATAGCTTAGACTTAGCACTGTTGAATGTGACAGAAAAATATTGCTGTCTCTTTTCCTGCAGGAGAAAACTACATTATCAATAATGTTCTGGTACAGTTTAACTCAGCAAGCAACATTAAATAACAAAAAAACGAGAAACGTAAGCAAACGATAGAGGAACGAAGATAAAGAAAATGGGAGTGAAGAAATGGAGCAAAGCAGCTATGGTATCTCGTATATCTTTCTAAGAGAAAGATGAAAACGGAAAGAAAATAGAGCAGAAACAAAAAGAAAAAAAGAAATAGAGAAAGGATGTGAGTGTGAAGAAAATCCACAACAGGTAAGACTACCCTATTTCCTTGATAACAAGAGAATGTTTTGATGTGTCTACTGAATGTTTGGAGAAAGTCATCGGTTAGTGCTTTCTGATATTCAAGTCAAGATGCCTGAACTTCAATGAAGGATAAATCATTTAATTTGGCCTTCATTTGAATCATCTGTCAAATGTTGCATAATGATGAACTTGTTGAATGCAAGAAAACATCATCAGCAAATAATCGCGCAACTGGTTGGAGATTCAGAACGATAAAAACTAAGGAGAGGAGGGGTCAGTGACTGAATCTTGGGGCACCTTTCTATTTAATCTAGCGCAATACTTATTACGATTGACTAAAGTGGTTAGTTCTATCGCTAAGATATGATTGAAACCAGTATAACATTCTGTCGGACACTCGTTTCTGTTTGAGCTTATAGATAGGTTCTGAGTGCCTGATCGAATCGAGCGCCTTCTTGGAATCAGTGTAACCAGTTGTTCATGTAACCAGTTTCTGTTTCATGAACTATGCGGATCAACCAGGGATGGGCGAGTCCGAGTCATGGCTCAAGTTGCATTTGTTTTTGACTCGAACTCGGACTCATGATGAAAGACGCGATAAACTCACTCTACTCACGTACCGGTCAACCATGTGTAACTTGGGATTGTTACGACGGTGTTTATTATATTTGTTTTGTACCAGAAGAGAGGGAGATTTGAGAATATTCTAAGTAGAACATCGCGCCGCATGAGCGGATTGAGCAGCTGTTCTTGGATAAATGAATCAGGAAGAAGTTTTCCTGTAGAAAATGACTCGAGTCTATTTTTGATGCAACTCGGACCTCGACTCCGACTTGAGAAAGTGGTGACTCGCCCATCTCTGCGATCGACTGATTTATTGTTGATTCCTTGTATCTGCAGTCAGACTGGAGAGTTTCTAATAAAGTATATTTGTTGTAAAGTATTTATACAGTTGTTTGTGTACTAAACATTCAAGTATTTTTGACAAAACCGGTAAAAGGCAAATCGGACAATGATTGTTAGGTACCCAATGATCGCCATTTTCATATCAAGCCTTTATTTCATCAACCATGGCAACGCATGGAAATAAAGACTCATCAAAAGAGTGGTTACAAACATTTGCTAAACACGCGCTCAGGACAAGAGATCCTTCTTCGACAATAAGAGCAGTTAAAGTTAACCTATACACTTTTTGAATTAAGGCCCCCCCTTAGGAATTCAATGTTTCCTTCGAAACCTTTGAAACTGAAGTAACCATACGGTTCAGTATTCCAAGGTGTCATCTTTCAGAATCCACCTCAGTTTGCCAAAAATTCAATGTTTTTGTAGGTTTTTGAAAAAGATTTCGGAACACCTCAAAAATCACCTTTTTATAAATTTCACTTTTTAATTAAAATTTTCAAGGATGTCCGTTTTAACAGGCATGGAGCGATGTTGAGCAGAGTATCCTGACGAGAATGAGATACCCTTGTATGACTTCTTCTTGCAGAGTTATACTAGTTTTGCTAAAGGCGCTGAGCTATAATTAATGAAATGATGATGTCATTGCTTAGAATATGGTTTTGGCGCAGCAACATTGTATCAACGGCTTGACGATTCATCGTAAAACCTTCATTTTTTTTTATTTTAAAGCTAACACATGTATCTAAAGTTTGATCAACGGCGATTTTTGATTTCTGTGCAGAGATAACTGGCAAATACTCTGCCGAATTAGAGTCATTTTCATAGCTCTGACTTAAAACACGTGTAAAGAATGAACGGAAGCGAAATTCAAAATCGCTGGAGATCAAATTTTAGATTTAGGTGTCTACTTCCATTTGAGACCATTCGCAGCTTTCGGCACCTTCCAACAAAAAGCCTTTACGCTTTTGGCCTTTGTCACGCAATAACTCGGCAGCACTTCAACGTTTGGATCTCGAATTTTCGGCATAAAACTCGTTGGACAGTAAGCATTAGTCACTGTAAGTGCCATCGAAAAAGTTTTTCGTGGGGAGCCCTTAGCCTGGAAAGAATATCTTCAATTTGAACCGGTTTTGACTTCAGTACTGTTGAATTTCATATAGAAAGAGGAGCATACTGGTAGAAATGCTAAATGACAAACTGACGAGGAAAGAAGAATAGCCGTCTCTTCGAATCAACTTGGCAGAATGGAGCATCACGTGTGAAAACAAGAATGATCTACAGCACAGAACAATAACACAATACATGAATACTCTCTATATAGTATGCGCTTTTTCTTGTGATGTCAAAGCTGACTGATGATCGTTGAGCTTGGCATATGTGGCACCAATACATGTGTGAGTTCCTGCTGTGTGAGGATGATGTTTGGGTAACACCTTTTCATGAAGTGTCATTCATCGATCATGTGATTCTATGGCCTCAATCAGGTCATACCAACTTCACCTCCTTTTGAGTTGGCATTCTTCATGATATGTCATAGCTGACTTCGACCAGTATACAAAGACATGTCTCATAATACTGCAGAGCCATTTCATACTCGTTTTTCTCGTCATACGCAGTACCCATGTTCTGATAAACATGGGCAACATCAGCGTGTTCTTCTCCATATACTTTGAGCTTAATCTTGAGTGCCTTCTCATAATATTCAAGTGCTTTATCGTACAAACCTTTATCACCATATGCAACACCAAGGTTTATGTAGTTCGCGGCAATGTCTGGATGGTAAGGAGAAAGTGTTTTAAGATTCATCTCAAGCGCTTTCGAATAATATTCAAGTGCCACATCAATCTCGCCTCTATGTAGAGCAACATTTCCAAGTCCAGTATAGCTGGCACAACTGTTTGGATGTTCCTGCAAATCTCTTCTGTAAAACACTATAGCTTTACAACTTGTTCTGCAATGGCGTCTCTTGCGCAAGATAGAAGAGAGAGAGCCGATTCAAACAACATTGCGAGTTGACACCTAAAAGCGTTGGAACGATTAGATCATACATGAATACACACGTATCATTTTCACCCATCTCACTCAACAAATTCCCTAATGATAAAAGACTAATATATTCTCCCATTTGTTGTCGATAATAATCGAATTCATCTCTCAGCTCGTTCTCATTCTCACCACACATTGTCAGCTTGATCACCCACACTGCTTTCTCATCATCAAATCTCACTTTATCAATGCGAAAGATCGTGCCAAGCATAATCAACACTTCTTGCTCTGCATCTTTGAAATAACTCAAACGAGAGATATCACAGTAGGGCTTCGTTTCCACACGAGTATCGACTTTGATTCGAAACATCACTCGATGAAGATCAGCTGTTACTTCCACTCTCTTGGCAAAGTTCAATGCCACTGACTTGCTTCGAGATGTCGACAGAAACGAGTTCATTGACAGATACTCATTCACACTCTCTCTCATTCGAGTCAGTTCTTCCGTGGACATCACTTGCCCTCGATACACAAACACGTATGGCTCGTTTCTCGTGAGAGAATGGAAGAAGCGCTGCTGTTCACTTTTCAGTTGTGCGTAGATATCTTTGATGAGAAAGCGAAGAGAGAAAAGAATATCGAGATCTTGACATCTTAGAGCTTTGTTCAGCACTCGATAGATGCACGTCTCCCTCGTGTACCACCACACTGCTTTGCGAGGTTTGTATGTCTGGTTGAACTCATCGAGAAGAGCTGATTCTTGTGCATTTCCATTACACATTGTCTTGCACATGTCGAGTAATTCACTTTTAGCCTTTGTAGAATGTTCGATTCGTAGAAGAGCGTCGATGAATAACTGGAACCACATGAAGGAGCCATTCAAAGATGTCGATGATTGTCGAGTACGAGTGAAGAAGGCGATTGATGTTGACTCATTCTCCATCTTCTCACGCATCTTCTGATCAGTCGACACTTGTTTCATTAGCTCATCACTATCAACAAATACACCACTTACCTTGAAATAACAGAAGTCTGGTTAGACAAGAACTGAACTGATTTATGTATTCATGAAAGAAAGCTTTGACGTCACTGTGGTACAGGGGAAGAATAGCTGATTGAAAAGAGGGTGATTCTTTCGGAAACGTACCATATTTACATCGACTTTATCCGGATTGTTCGAGAGTAACAGGACTAGTACAGCTTGGGCTCTTGATGACAAATATCACGTTTAAAAGATTCTAAACAATTATTTAACAATATGTGTTATTATCTAAAGGACAGACTCCAAGAAAATCATTGTTACAAGGTAAAGCGAATATTTGAGGATTTCGACGTTTATATGAAAGAAAGGAGGAAAAAAGAAGAAAACGAGTCTCCTACTAAGACTCTTCTCTACTGTATTGGTTGTGTCTCGCTGACACCGTTACGACTTGTCTATCAAAAAATGGAACAATCAATTGGAAATCGAGCACTAAGAATGACACAATTCGGTGGAGAAGATATGTTTCTGCTCGTGCACATTCGAGAAGAAGATAATCAACCATTAAAAGATTTTGATCCAGCCATAAAACGTCGACTTAAACATAAAATGTTGCATGGAATTAAAGCAATGGGTAGGACATATCGTCTATTTGGAACATCAAGTAGTCAACTAAAAGAAATGTCATTTTGGTTTGCGGCTATTGAAAACCGATCAATAGAACAAGCATGGCAAGATTTAGGAGATTTTTCAGAGATTAAAAATGTTGCAAATTATGTGGCAAGAATTGGTTTGTATTTCTCAACGTCACGTGAAACTGAGGTAAATATATCTTGGTTTCATAAAAAAAGGAATTATACTCCTACTCTTGTTCGCAATATAGATTTCGTTTAAATATGTTGAAAAACCTTTGTCGAATACGAAGTATTACGCGATGATGATTGATGATGTTGAAACGGAAGATAAAAAATACTGTTTTACTGATGGGATCGGGAAAATATCTTGGGGTGTAGCCGGTGAAATTGCCAGAAAATTAAATATTCCATTAGGATCGAGAGACGATATTCCATCTGTATTCCAAGTTCGTATAGCTGGCTGTAAGGGTATGTTAGCTATTGATCCAGAATCAAGCTTCAAGGATTATTACATTAAATTCAGAGGGTCAATGGAAAAATTTAAAAGCAACAATTGGGATTTAGAAATATGTGAATATAGTCAAGCACGTAAGTTTTCATCTCTACTTTTTTTTTTCAATTTTTGCAGGAATGTTTTCATCTCACAGTTCCACTAAAATTTAATAATCAAGTGATCATGTTGTTATCTGATTTGGGTAATCCGGCTGCTGTTTTTGAATCATATCAAAATGCAAGTATGACTAACTGGCATGAACAAAACGAAAATGAACGACAGAGAAATTTACAATATTCGATGGCTAAGGATGATTTATTGAAAAATAAAATTCCTCTACCGTTAAATGAAGCACGTAATATGTATGGTGCGGTGGATGAAACGCGTACGCTAGAATATGGTCAAGTTTTTATCCAATACGAAAATTTCGATTCAACACAGGGCGATAGATTTATTGTTGTTACAGGTTAGTTTTTGAGCTAGTTAACAACAAGCGACTTCTCTGGCGTATTTTGTTTACAGGCGATGTATTAGTGGCAAAAATGCCCTGTTTGTATCCAGGAGATTTTCGGAAATTGACTGCTGTTAATGTGCCTCAACTGAAATCCTGCATGCGTGATTGCATCGTGTTCCCAATGAAAGGATCGCGTCCCCATCCCAATGAAATGTCTGGCTCTGATTTAGATGGCGATCAATACTGGGTGAGTTTCGGCGAAAAGACTAAGTGTCATATAAAACTCATTTTCTTCGACAGGTTTATTGGGGTAAACTACTGACAATAAAAAAGATGGATGATCCTTTGTCATATGAGCCTTCACAAAAGAAATCAGTGCCTACGATTACAAATGAAATTATCATTGACCATATTATTGAAACGTTTGGTGCTGGTAGTCAAGGTATTATTTGTGATGTTCATTTATCTATTGCTGATTGTCATCCGGAGCATACGCGGTCCGCTGATTGTAAATATCTGGCTGAATTATTTGCACGTGCGGTTGATGCACCTAAAACAGGTGAAATCATAGAATTAGATAAAGTTTATGAATTGAGATCGAAACATTGTCGAGGATATCCAGAATTTATGAAAAAATATGATCAGCCCATTCGTGAATCAAACAGCGTTCTGAATAAGTTATTTTTGAGAGCAAAACATGAATTCTTTGCACAACGTGAACATCTCGGTCGGTCATTGTCACAGCCTCTAACAAGATCTGTGTTTACTATCCCAAAGAGTCGTGTACAGCGGAAACCAAGGTCAAGTGCGCAAGATAAAGAGTTTCAGCAATGGTGTGACTCACTCGGTATTCCCATGTCAGATGACAATACTAGTACATCTCTACCCAATACTACCTCAGTAAGTAGCAATACTACCAAAAAACCACGTCAGACTCTCAATGCTTCAGAGAAAGCGGTTAATCCGGAGCTTTCTGAAACATTATCGACGGAACAAACGATTTCACCATCTGATAAGCGGAGTAAAAAGTCTAAATCTATAAAACAGGATGAAGAATCTCAACATTCTCAGTCATCCTCAGCAAGAGTAACAACAACTCCAGTTGATTCTAAGTCGCATGAGCCAGTTTCTGTCTTATCTGAAAAGCGAAAAAAGCCTGGTGAGAAAGCTGTATATTCTGATAATTCCAGTGATCCACCCACATTAATCAATTCTGCAGCGTCATGCGTTACATCAAAAGCATCAGCAAGCGCTTCTTTTATCGCGGAGAATCAGCTTAGTCAAGAAATTGTTTTCTATGGTATGACAACGGTCACAAATCGAATCAAATGTAATCAAGTTAATAACACTTTCACTGTTGATCTGGATGGAAAATCATCTGACAAAAATAATACGGTGGATAAACTTCTCCAACTCATGCTTGGCCACGGAAAATCGTCACCATTGGCTGCAGATACTCACTTAACATTAGTGATTTCGTGGGGTAAGATTTGTTTTAAACTCCAGCATGCATCGAACGTAACACTGCCCAAAAATATCAGGGAACTTTCCGAACTAATCAACAACGAGTGTGGTGCTGAATGTTTGTTGAATTCAAATGATGTGAAAACTGTTACATCCGGACAAGTGAGTGCAGATTGCTATTTAATATCATGTGCATCAACAACTACACTTACATCACCCTTTTGTTCTAGGAGCCACTCAGTAAATCAGCACCAGAGTATGTTCTAGCCTGCAAATGCTACAATACTTCATCTAGCGATATATCACTCATATTCGATGATAAAAAAAAGTTGAAGAAAATTGCGTTTGTTTCAACGTGGTGGAGATGTGCTGTTAGAGGTAACGAAGACATTATGGATAGCTTCTACGAGATCCGTCGCACGAGTCCGTCACCGTCGCAGGGCGAGATCGATTCGAAACACATATCATTCTCTCAACACCTGCAATCGATATTCAAGGATCCCAACTCAACGGGGTTACTATCGGGTACTTCGCCAAAGATTATAATCGACAAAGCGCTATTGAAATCAACAGTACAAGTTGTTTCGTTGCGACGATTGATTCGTTATGAATACGCTGGTTTAGATCGACCTCAGTTTAATCAAAACCCGTTTAATACACCGACGAATCTCGACTGTGCCTTCTATCAAGTTGTTAATATTTCAACAGAAATGATAAATGATAAAATTCAAACGAGCGAAACAATTGAATTTTATGCATCACCAATTCAAATTGCGAAAAAATATGAACCAGAACTGAAACAGTTGTGTGTACTAGCAGAAAATTATTTTGACCAACCCAGTGAAAAAAAACGAGCGTGATTCCGCAAGTTCCTGGGGGAAAAATGAAACATTTTCACGCGGGAAGTGAAAGTCTTCTGCAGGAAAAGAAGCACTTTTCCCGCCGCATTCTGCAGGAATCT